TTTAGAGACACAGTCAGATAATCTACAGACACACACAGATCATCTACAGACACACAGACAAATGATTTACAGACACACAGAGTCAGATAATCTACAGCCACACATAGATCATCTACAGACCCACACAGTCAGATCATCTACAGACACACACAGACAGATCATCTACAGACAGATCACCTACAGACACACACATACAGATCATCTACTGACACACAGAGTCAGATCATCTACAGACACACAAGACAGATCATCTACAGACTCACACAGTCAGATCATCTAGAGACATAGTCAGATCATCTACAGACACACAAAGACAGCTCATCTACAGACACACACAGATGGTGACCCATACTTGGAATTAGTGCTCTGCATTTAACCCATCCAAAGTGCACACACACAGCAGTGAACACACACACACCGTGAACACACACCCGGAGCAGTGGGCAGCCATTTATGCTGCGGCGCCCGGGGAGCAGTTGGGGGTTCGGTGCCTTGCTCAAGGGCACCTCAGTCATGGTATTGAAGGTGGAAGAGAGTGCTGTACATTCACTCCCCCCACCTACAATTCCTGCCGGACCGGAGACTCGAACCCGCAACCTTTTGGGTTACGAGTCTGACTCTCTAACCATTAGGCCACGACTTCCTGTAAGTTTTCCTGTAAATTTTACTGTAAATTATCTCTTAAATGTTCTTAATACCTCAGTATCTGCAGCTGACAGTTTGGACTCTTCAGTCCATCAGAAATCAACTTTACACCAGAGTCCTGGAGGTCATTGTTACTCAGATCCAGCTCTCTCAGGACACCATTTGAGGATTGTAGAGCTGATGAAAAACTCTCACAACACTGAGCAGTGAGATTACAACAAGACAGACTTAAAAAGAGGAGAACACACATCAACTGTGAGATCATCTACAGACACACACAGTCATATCATCTACAGACACACAGATCATCTACAGACACACATCAACATTGTGACCAGTTGACTGTAAATTATCTCTTATATGTTTTTAATACCTCAGTATCTGCAGCTGACAGTTTGGACTCTTCAGTCCATCAGAAACAAACTTTATACCAGAGTCCTGCAGGTGATTGTTATTCAGATCCAGCGCTCTCAGGACACAGTTCGAGGATTGTAGAGCTGAAGACACAATTTCCCAATGCTGATCTGAGAGATCACAGCCAGACAATCTGGAAGTAATAACAAAACAATACAGACATGTACAGAGTGTTGCCAGTTTTCTGCCCTCGGGGAACGGAGGATGACATGATCTGAACATTGAATCACAATAAGATGAGCTGCTGAGATTGAGATAATCTGATCATTTTATCATTCAGATTGATTCATATCTGAGATCAGATGAGCTTCTGACTGTTTCTTCAGCTAATGAATATTTCAAATTTAGCAAAGTTTTCTGAGGGTATAAAAATGAAAAGTTTTGAGAGACTCTCCAGACAGCTGTGCAGTTTTACTTTTTTTTTTGTTTACTGAATTAAATCCTTATAACTAAATTGTTAATTTGAAAAATATTTTGTTAATTTGAAAAATATTTTTAGTTTCCCATTATTTTGTGCTTTATGCCGAGTTCACACTGCACGATTTTAGCCCGATTTTTCACTCGCCGACAGGTTTTGCGAAATCGCCAACAAATGCCCGACATCGGAGGCAAATCGGTGCTCGTGCACGCGAGTGACAATCACGCAGTGCGAATTATCAAAGACGCGATCTGAGGAAATCGCCGATACGTCGCCGACGCCTGCAAAATATTTGGCATGCTAAATATCTGGAGCAGTGAAAATCGTGCAGTTGCATTAGTTTGAGTCAATAGTGTTCACAGGCACAGTAACTTGCTTTGCTTTATTAACTTTATTCAACGTCACAGCCAATCAAGACCAAATGAGACGTGTTGAATAAATGCTTGATATGTAGTTTAAGCTTCACAGTATGAGACAGATGAATTCACTGAGTCACGTTTGTGGAAATCAAATACTTTAAAAAATAGGTTAATGAAATATACTGTATATATATATATACACAGTATACACATATATACACATACACACAAACATTAAATAAAAAAAACAATGAATAAAAAACATTAATATTAATATTAACATTTATAAACATAAATTATTTATAATAATTAATGTACAATACAAACGTTTATGTACAAAAATGTATTTACAAACTAAAAATAAAAGTTAAAATAAGCAAAAGTATAAAGTAAACGTCGGTATGACAGCTTCTTTACATGCATTTTGACTGCTCTCAGCACCCGTACCGTAAGTACACGATTACACACGCAAGACAAAAAAAGTGCGGCTGGCTTGACCGCAGTTGTTTGAAAGCACAGTGAGCACCTGCTCCTTCCGCTTATGTACCACACATGGACTGCATACACACTGCAAACGGAGTATGTGTGAACCTGGTGTAACAGTGCCTCACGTACAGCTCACAAAATCAGCTTTGTGCTCTGTGTAAGCTATTGTGCAACAATTGCACGATTGTCAAAACAAAAATGCAGTGCATGATCAAACATTTAGGTGAGATAAATATATATATTTTTTAAATATCTAAAAATTGCCCCCCTCCACCCCTCAAAAAAAAAATCACCTCTCAGAATCACCTAAGTGGGGACCCTGAATAAATGTCTAAAATCTTAATTGGATCATCAATATAAATAATTCTACATGATAAAAAGAAGGCTTTAAAAAGATCGGTATCTGTGATTGTAACGGTAGATACTGCTTTCTTTGATCGACGATCGGTGATCGGCTCCAAAAATCTGGAGCGGAGCACCCCTAATTTATTTAATTATTTTATCTTCATTCACAGTGAAAATGTCTGAATGTCAGCTTTACTGATCAATGTGTCGAGCGTCTCTTTGCTGCAGCTGCTGCTGATTTAATGAACAAGTTCCCTTTCGATACTTCACTCGTACTGTGATGGGAAAAGCCATTTTCTCCTGAACTGAAGCCTATTTCATTCACGCAGTGAAACTGCACGGCCATTGGTTCGTGCAGGGCTTTAAAAACGAACCAATGGCACGGCAGTGGAGCTGCACGAGCCTATGGCGATGAAGCCCGCCAAAGCCAGCCAGAAAGGGTGGGGCATCAGGCTATATAAGCGGGCGCTCGCCACAGGATTCTCAGATTTTTTCTCCTTCAGCGACGACTCTATGCTCATCGCTGATCCTGAAAGCCTGCTCGCCGTTGACACGCCTTCGCAGCTGGAATCGGGACCTCTCAGCACAGCTGACCTGCTTCACCGCCGCTACAGCGACGCAGCAGTTCCGGTCCGTTTTCCCCTGCCGCCATCCGGCGATTCTAAAAGAGCTTATTTCTAGCAGGTAAGCCCTAAAAGAGCAAATTGTAGCGACGTTGTTGCAAATGTCGCTCTGCGAGCGTGGCTCGTGCAGCGGAACTTGCACGATGCAGAAGAGCAATGAGTATGTCATCTGTCTGGGCAGACCCCATGCAGAGACTGCTCTCTCACTGTTCTCTGAGTGTTTGTCTGATTTCACAAACTCCTGAATCTCTCTGGACAGAGTCTGATCTTTCACTTCCAGCAGACAGAGGAACAGATTGATGGATTCACCAGCTGAGAGATGATAATGATAATTTTTGATCTTCATTTTAATGAACTGAATGGTTCTCCTCATGGTCTCTGAGCTGTTCTCTGTGTGTGTCAGTAGATCCTGTAAGTCTCTGATTGGACTCCAGTGAGACGCCCAGCAGAAACCGCAGGAACAGATCCAGCCGTCCATTCTTACTCTCAACAGCTTTATCTACTGCTTATGTTAGTAGATCATACAGAGAGACTTTATCAAAACCGTTAGATTCAAATTCACACAGTAGCTCCTTGTTCTTTGTTAAATGGCAGTAAAACAGATAGAAAGCAGCGAGAAACTCCTGAACGCTCAGATGAATGAAGCTGTAGACTTATTTGACTCTCTGTAGTTCATCATTCACTGGTTGAGGAGGATCTCCAGTCTGATCATCTCTACTAGCACTGCTGAAAAGAAAAAAAAAACGGATGAAAAAATCCTGTATTTTTCATATATTTTATGACTTATATCTTGACTCTGGGATCATAGTTAATTTATAATCACTGAATTTGTGTCCATAGATTTGAGGTAAAGTTCAAAATTAAAAATCAAAACTCATCTCTCAACATGCATTCAATGAGTTTTCATGTGATCTCTCATGAATTGTCCTTGTCTAGTTTCACTCACGAGGAATAATTCTATCACCCACTAGTTATATGTTCACATTCACCTGGGGTCAAAGGTCACTGGTTCATCACTGAGGTCAGGAGGATGAGGTAATGATCTGTCACTCTTCAGAGACACACAGCTGGGATCAGGAGATGCTGCTCTCTTCCTCCCCCTCCTACTGGAGATACTGAGAAAACACACAGAAATAACTCTGCAATCACTTGTTTGCTTTGGTAGATGTAGTAGAAAAAAGTACAGCGGTTTGCTGTTGTGAACTAGATGCACAGAGGATGCAACAGATCACCCTTTCTCTCAACTCTGAAAGGACTTTGGTGAAAAGAAACTCATCAGGGACATGCACATATGGTGCCACATTAGTTTTATTTATATTTTTAATGCCATGTCAGCAGCAAGACTATCTTCATGGCGAAAACAGAACAAATAACAAAAGTACACTACAACTATTAAGAAGCTATATACGACATTTAAAGGTAATAATAGACAAAAATCTAAAATATATTCAGGTAAAACTTTTTTAAACACCAGTTAAAACATTTGAGTAGCAGTACAATCCAATAAAAAATGTTTACCAGTTACACACCAATATGACCTGGAACCCAGCAGAAAAAGATACTGAAGTTTTTCTTGCATAAAATATCTACTTTAGCTAAGATACTTATGATTATGGGTGACATTAGGGGGTGCAAGGGATGGCAATTGTTAGTCATGGAATCCCTGATGTCGCCCCGCTGCAATTGGAGCGCTTAGCCAAGCGCTAAATACCCTCAACGTGTTTTTGCAGCATTGAGCAATGTAACCAATCACAAACATATCTGTTAATTTCTTGAACACAATGGCCAATCAGAAACGTTTTGTCAGAATTCCCTCACAGCTGAAAGTGCCGCAGTTAAGTGCAGACGCGATGTAAATAAGAGATTAATTGTGCAGTTTAGAGAGCTTCATTGATTATAACGGAACTTTGTGAGATCGCATGAGCGAAGATGAGTGAAGCTTTTTAGTGATAAAGGGAGCACACTTTGCACACTTTCTAGGGTATAATCCATTCAGAATTTGTATGAACCTTTCGTTTTTCGGACACATGGGCTACACCCTGCAAAGTTTCGGGAATGACATCCACATATTTATGCGGGATTCACTCTCAAAATAGCAGTGATTGGCAATGGACAAAGGACAAGTTGCAACTCTCACTGGCCAATGCCAGCCAAGACGGCGAAAAGGGGAGGGGCCCCCACCACTATATAATGCACCGTATTGGCGGCATAAGCTCAGAATCTTCCTCTTTCTACCGAAGACAGCTGTGGAGAAGACACAGGAAGATGGATTTCCCTCTCGGTGTTCCAGCATGTCCAACGTTTGCATGCTGTGTTCGGGACCCATTGAGGCCCCGGACACTCACGAGTTCTGCATCCTGTGCCTGGGTCACACCCCCCGAAGCAACACCCTAGCAACCACCCAGAGTACCTTAGCAACCGCCCCGGGTACCCTAGCAACCGCATAGCAACACCCTAGCAACCCCCGAGTACCTTAGCAACCACATAGCAACACCTTAGCAACTGCCCCGGGTATCCTAGCAACCGCATAGCAACAACTTATCAACCGCCCTGGGTACCCTAGCAACCACATAGCAACACCCTAGTATTACATGATATCGTGAGTGTGTATATGCACAGTTTGTTTTGTTTATTGGGGGCGTCTGGCAGAGTGTTAGGACTCTGAAGTGGTGAAGCGTGATGTCAGACGTAACAAGCAGATATTCTTAAACACTCCTATACAACCGTGAATCTGCTATGAGCAAGAGGTGGAGTGGAGGTGCACCACAATAAAACCCCGCCCTTTATTCAATAATCCGTTTCACTTGGAAATACATCACAACACTGAAGTCAGTTGCAACTTCTGGTTCACGGGTACTTTGATACTGATATTTTTCAAGGTATTGAAGTTAGAAATTCCTGTATCGTGACCACTAATTTCACGTAATTTGTCAATAAGATAAAAGTGGGTTTTGTTCAAAGTAGCTATTATCCACATAGATCTTTGATATGAATATTTTTTGGTAATTCATTAAATATCGGTGGCTAAAATGTAACTAGTAACTAGTACTCCGAGTAGTTTTTGAGAGGAGTACTTTGTACTTTTACTTAAGTACTGTTTTGACACCAGTACTTTTACTTGTAATTGAGTATTATTTCAGCAATGTAACAGTACTTGTACTTAAGTACAAATTTTCA